CAGAAGCTTCTTGAAGAAAGATTCAGGATAGAGGGGAGAGCTGAAAGCTTGGGAGGCTTTTGTTGTAACCGTGGGGAATGATGGGATCACTGTCTGGAGAAAGAAGGCCTAGGAAATAAATCTAGTGTGCCGGACACACAGACCATGGAAGAGATGAGCGGAAGACAGGGGACTAGTGAAGGGAGGAGCAGAGGCCAAGGCGGAGCCAGAGGAAGGCAGTGGGAGCTGGAACTGGGAGTAAACCTGCGTGACTGACACACGGAAAGCATCGTGTGAATAAGCAAGCACGCGTGAGCACTGTCTTTTTAATGGCCCAAAGCTTTCAAAACCCAACAAAAGGCCCTATACAAAAGAGAAATGCAATACCGAGCCTAGCAAAGTGTTTCCTACAAATAAACAAGATAAAAACTCTAAATTTCTCTGGAAAACAACCCAGCACAGCTATCAGAGCTGAAAGCAACAGAACCCTTTCTTAAAAAGATTATTTCCGTGCCGTATTTCTCACATGAAAGTGGCCCGCTCTCCTATTATGGAAAATTCTCTCTTTATTCTGCTATATAGGTCATAAGCTATAAACTTCTGTCCAAAGTGGCTGCCCCTGTGGTCAAAGTGGATTAGCAGTGGCTTTCCAACTAGAATGAATTCCACCATCTGACCAACTTGCTGGGAAACGGCCTCATGTGTATAACAGACAGTTGAGGAGATCAAAGGAACATTTCTAGCTCAAGACCACTGGCCCAGTATGCAAGAAACATTTTGAATCATGTTAACACTTAATTGTCAACTTCACTCCAACCCAGGTCTTCAGGGTTGATTCACACTAGAAGAGGAGCCAGCATGTTCACACCCTGTGATACCTGCTCAGTAGTAGCAGTGGCCAAAACGAATGAAGCAAAATCAGCAAAGAACTGACCAGAAATGGCTAGAAAACAAATCAGCAATTGAAAGGAAGGCTTGCTATATAATAAATGTAGACTAAAACCACAGGCAATGAATGATATCCGGGCATTGGTGTTCCTAAAGTAGGGGGACTCGAGAAATTTTACAGAAAACTCAAAGGTAGTAAGAAATTGTCCCTTCAACTAAAAACAAAAACAACAAAACCCTGAGGCATAGTTCTTTTCCCAGAAAATCTGATACTGAAAAACTGCTGGTGCGAAGCTTGATAATCAGGCTGAATTCCAAAGACCATGTGCCCAGCATCCGGAGAGAAAAGGCACATACACCCCTACGACTGCACATGGTGGCAGAAGATCAGACGGGCGCAGAGTTCTCCAAAGCCACGTGGAAGCTGTGTAGTACAAGGGGCTTCAGACGTTCATGGAAAACTCCACTGTCTGCATTTCCTGTGAACCTTGTGAGGTCCCTGCATATCATAGATAAGGGAAGTACATTTGGAACCAGACTAGTTGGACCAAATTGTAGTTCTACCACTTACTAGTTATATAACGCTCTGGGAAACTCAACTTGTTTCATACCTCATCTATAAAGTGGAAGAATAGCCGTGTCTATTTCACCAGGTTGTAGGAGGAGTAAGTCACTAACTGTAAAAGTCTAAAGTGTTATAGAGCAGCATCTGGCACACATAACTGAGTGATTATTACAAACAATGTTAAGCAGCGCTGTGTTGATATATATTGGAAAACAGGTACTCGCATACATTGCTGGTAGGAATATGAAACTGGTAAAAAGTATTCTGGAGAGCAATTTAGCAATTATCAAAATCTAAAGGCACACACTTATTTTCACCTGCGTGTTTCACTTCTAAGAACTCTGGTGACACAGTGGGTTATCTGGAACCACAAAGTCAAATCCCCCAGCGTTCAGAGGGAGACAGATGAGGCCTTCTGCTACCATAAAGATTTACAGCCTTGGAAAACCTAGGTAGGGTCCTTAACAGTCTGAATCGACTCTGTGGCAGTGAGTTTGTTTTGGTGACTTTGATATCTAGAAATTTATCTAACAGATATCACACGTGATTACAATTAATCACTATGCAGCTAATAGAAGATACAGTAGCACCTCCACTGGTATCACAGGAGCCCTAGTGGCACTGATAGGTAAGGATTTGGCCAGTAACTGCAAGGCTGATGGTTCACACTCACTAGCCACTCCATGAGAGACAGACGAGGTTAACTGTTCCAGTAAAGATTCACAAACTTGGAAACTGAGAGGGTCACTGTGAGTCAGAACTGACTTGATGGCACTAGGTTTGGCTTTGGAATTAGTATGACATGCAGTGATCTTCAAGACATATTGAAACATGAAGAAAGCCAGAACACTGTAACACTATATACACGACCACTATGTTACACACACACACACACACACACACACACACACACACACACAGTTTACAAATGTCTGGAATATTTCTTTAAGTATAAACAAACAAACAGAATCAAACTCACTGCCATCGAGTCGATGCTGACTTATAGCAACCCCAAAGGAGAGGATAAAACTGCCCTTGTGGGTTTCTGAGACTGTAACTGGTTATGGGAGTAGAAAGCCCTGGCTTTCCCCTGAAGAGTGGCGGGTGGTTTCGAACTATTGACCTTGGGGATAGCAGCCTGATGCATCACTCTTTAAATATATACAAGGGAAATTGCAAGAAGTGACTGCTTTTTGGTAACTATGAGATTTTGTGATTACATATTAAAAATAAATTATTGAGTTAAGGGTTGAACTAGAAAAAGCAAAATATAAATTTGAGACTATTGAATGTGATATATTAAAGATTCAATGACTTCTTTATTTCTTGCTTAGAAGAGTTGAGTCAATGACACTGAATTCCCAATATTTTTTTATAAAAAGTGTGTAATTTATTTAATTATACTACTTTAATTATCTTGCAATAAAATTATAGCACTTTAACTTTAGAGGTGCTCTGAAATTTGATATAAAATGACTGTATAGAGAAATTAATGAAAACGATAGTGGATACCGTAACTTACCCTTGTTAATAAAATATAAAATATAAAAAATAAAGATAAAATATAAAAAATAAAGAGTATGTATTATGGATTGACTTTCCTCTCCCCGATAGTTATAGAACAATTCTAACCCATGTAATAGGACCGTGTTTGGAAGGAGGAGATTCCTGTCATGTTAATGAGATTATACTGGTGGGTCCTAACCCTAATCCTTTCTAATTGGTGGTGTCCAAAAAGCAAGCCAGACACAGACCGGGACATACACACACTTAAGAAGAGATGCTATGTGACAGAAGCGGCAGGTGCACCTAAACGCAAAAAGAAAGCTGAGGTTGCTAGAGGTCACCAGAAAGTAAGTAAAAAGCCTGCAGAAGGGATGCATATGACCACAACCCCAATTTGGACTTTAGCCTCTATACAGATGAGAAAATAAGTTTGTTTTTAAACATCGACAACTTGTGGGGTTTTTGTTACAGCAGCACTAGAAAGAGTATATGCAGAAATCTGAAACATATGTTTATGTACGTGTGTATATAATAATATAAATGTAATTTTACTATGGATGTATCATACTAGTTCTAAAATCATGTTTTAAAGGAAATAATATAAAACTAACACAATTCAAGATTGAGGGACATAGCTTAAAGCAGTGGTCGAGGAAATTTTATAATACTAAATGCTTATACTAGGAAAGAAAGAACTTGGCTCAACAATTTAAACTTTCACCCAAGAAACCTGAAAAAGAAAACAAGATAAACCCAAAGTCTGCAGAAGAAGTAAAAGAGAAAAGAACATAAATTGATGAACTCTAAAACAGCAAACAAAAAAGAAAAATCAATAAAACGCCAAGTTGGCTCTTTGAAAAGATCTATAAAATCTCTGGGCAACACTGACAAAGGGAAAAAAGAGGTAAGACCCAGGATTACCAGTATTGGGAACACAGCAGGCTATCCCTACAACAGACCCTGCTGACGTAAAAAGGATACTAAGACTAAGGTGCCAGGTAACCAAAAGGGTGGGTGGTTTGCACGCGCCAGCTGCTCCGAGGGAGAAAGCTGTGGCAGTCTGCTCTGGAAAGACTAACAGCCTTGGGAACCCTACGGGGCAGTTCTGCTGTGTGCTATGATGTTGTGGGAGTCAGAATCAGTTTATGGTAATAGGTTTAGAGAATACTACTAGGAGTCACTCTAAGCACATACATCTGTTAAAAATTCACACGAAATGGAAAAATTCCTCAAAAACTACAAACTTTAAGCCATCCAAAATTAAACAGGTAATTTGAAGAGTCTTAACTATTAAATGAATTAAATTAATAATTAATTACCTGCAGCACAACAAAAACTCCAGGCCCAGATGTTTTCATTGGTGAATTCTACCAAATATTTTTTTGGGGAAAAAAAAATATCCCAATTCTACACTCTTTCTTCCAGAAAACAGAACAGGAAGAATGCTCCCAACCTCTCTGATAGCAGAACTAGACGACAACTTCCTCACTGTCACTGAGTCCATGTGGAGTCAGAGATCCTACAAGACCGGGCAGCATTGTCCCTCTGGGTTTTCCGAGACTGTAACTCTTTATGGGAGTAGAAAGCCCCCATCTTTTCCTTGCAGAGCAGCTAGTGGCTTAGAACTGCTGATCTTGTGGTTAACAGCCCAACACACAAGCCACTACTATCAGTGTTCTCATCTATAAAGTGGGACTTTCACTTGCTCTGCTACTGCATAGAGTTTCACAAAACAGGGCGATGAGTATAAAAAGTATAACTTATGGTTAAGCTAATGTAAAACACCATGGTTTCTACTGCTGAACCATATGATACGCAAAGCTTTCCAAATTTAAGTGGGAATACTTCAGTTATTTTAATACGTTCACTTGTGCTATCCTAAAATAAGAAAAAAAAAAAAAGCCAGAAGCTGTTGGTAAGATAGATTTAAACTATGTCACCCCCAGTGTAACGTTTCTGCTTTGACACAGCAGTCGCCCACAATGACCCTGCCACATGGCCCATCTGCACCATCATTCAGATAACACAGGTGTTGGAAGATCCAATTTTGGCTATTTCTTACCAGGTTCTGGAAGATCCAATTTTGCTCGTTTGAGTTCTGCCATAGAAATCTGAAGTTGGTCTATTACAAAATCATCTTCAAAGAAAAAGTCTTTTGCCAAGGTCTCCTGAAGAAATTCTACAAGTTCTTCCATAGATAATTTCATTAGATGTTCTGGGAAAGAACAAGAGAAACGGAAACATGTCAGCAGCTACTTCAGGTTGAAAAGATAACATTCTATTCTTACCCAGCATTCTAAAGGGGAGGGGGCAAGCACACAACTTACATAAGGCACTGTGACTACGATCAGAACTCAAGACAAAATTATTTTCTGATGTTGAAACTGACCCAGGGAGACAGGTATGCTTACTGGGGGGATGGGGGTGGGGGTGGATACTGTTGATGCCTCCATGTGATCCCCAGCCTTCTTGGAGAAAAAGACAGAGAAAGACCACGCCAACCAGCATGGAAATGCTTTGTTGCTATCGGTCCTCAGTTGCCACAGGCAAACACACTGTGTGTAAAGAGTTTTTAAAATCGGGATTATTAGTTTGGTTTGTGATTTGAGTCAAACATAAAACTCACCCCCATTGTACAAGTAGCCTGCATGTAGATGCATATGTTTACATGTGGATCAAGTTACAGAATAAACTGAGCTTTCAATGCTATTATACTTGCTTTTTCCCATTCAATTATGTACCATGGAGATTTCTCCTAAATACTCTATATACTCCCATTTTTAATAGCTATACAAAAAATGCACTGTATGTCTGTACTGTAATTTACTTAATGACCCCCAGCACACACACCAAATCTATTGCCACTGAGTCAATTCTGACTCAGCTTTGCAGGAACAGAGAGCCTCCGCTAGGGCTCCAGTGAAGGCTGTCAGCTTGCTCCTGTGCGTGCCTTTTTCAGTACATCCACGATGACATTCCAACAAGACTGTCTGTAAATACTCATAAAGCAATGCAACAAATGAATGGCTAAATGGATAACCGGGAGGAAGGGAGGAAGGGGAAGAAGGAAGAGAAGGTAGATAGTGGGGGAGGATGGGAGGGAGAGAAAAGGGAGAAAGGGAGAGAGGGAGGGAAGTGAGGGGCAGGGGTAAGGGCAGGAAGGCAGGCAATCTCTTGGCAATTAAAACTGGTGGTTAAGCACCCAGACCATTTTGAGGCGAAAAAGGAACTTCATGTAAGCTTTATCTCCTTACCCAAGGAGAAAAAAAATCCATCACATTAGGCAGATTTTCCAATTTATTTCATCTGATGCTACAGTAGCATATCAAGTAATTGCTCTGCTTAAAGTTTACTTACAAAAAGATGAAGATGAAAAAAATTTACTCTCCCCCTGAAAACAAATTCAAGTGTCAAACAAGGAAAACAAAACTTTTACAGAAGCAAGCTATAGAATAGCTATACAAGAGCTCTCTGAAATAGAAAAGAAGTAAGCCAGAGGGGCGCCTCAGAAACCCACAGGGGCAGTTCTGTTCTCCCCACCCTACAGCGCTGCAGAGTTGGAATCGGCTTGCCAGCAGCGAGAGAGAACAGAACAATATTCTGTTTCACAGTGTTAGATTATAGATAAGCATGAAGGATGGACTGTAGTGGGATTAAAAAGTTCATGGGAAATTTCCACTTTCTTTTTATTCCACTTTCCATGAATATTTTAACCCCCCCACCAGCAAACCTTTATCATTTAGTAAAAATTAAATGTTTGTTCTATATATCGGCCAGTTCATAAGCCATAAGGAGAAAGAAGAAGTAAAAGGGTCGGGGAGAGACAATGAGTGACAGAAGAAAGAAAAAGAAAGCCAGACTGATTATGAGAAAACGTATGCTGATGTCTATCTAAGAGAACCATGAGACTTGCAACACTGTCAACTGTTAAGTCTTGCATGGACTTGTATGTTGGGCCAAGAAGCCATAGCACTGCTGAATACTTTCCTTTAAGAGGTAAACAAGAGCGCTCTTAAAAGGCATTTTCATTCCTATCTAAATCTGGATAATCTGGCATTATTTTCATTTTTTCCCAAGTAAGTAATCAATAACTCATAATAAATCACCTGACAAGTACTTAGCTTAAAACATCAACCACCAAAGGAAGGAAGGGAGGAGAGGAGAGAAGGAAGGAAGGAAGGGAGGGGAGGAGGGCAGGAAGGAAAGGGAAGGGAGGGTGAGGAGGGAAAGGGAGGAGTGAAGGAAGGAAGGGGAGGAGGGAGGGAATAATAAATAAAACGTGACCCCCAGGCACTCAATTAGCTTGTGATTTCGTTGACAAGTTGAACAGAGGATCATTCAAGAAGAGCATGTGAGTACACGTGACCTGGATCACTCTAGAGCAGTGGTTCTCAACCTTCCTAAGGCCACGACCCCTTAATAGCTCCTCATGTTGTGGTGAACCCCAACCATAAAATTATTTTCGTTGATACTTTATCACTGTAATTTTGATACTGTTATGAATTGGGCGACCCCTGTGAAAGGGTCGTTGGACCCCCAGAGGGGTCATGACCCACAGGTTGAGAACCTCTGCTCTAGAGCCTTCAAGGAGTCTCTTCTCTGCATAGTAAGAAGAGCTGTCTAATTTGTAAGGCTGAACTGAGACTTTCTCATGGAGAAAACCTCTCATTTCTTGACTTTTAGAATAAGGCTTACCACATCAAATTATACAAGCCTTTGGAAGATTTCTAAAACTAAATAGGTAACTATTTCTTGATCACAAAACTTAAAAAAATATTTTTATTGTGAATTACATGGTTTACGGAGCAAATCAATTATCCATTCAATAATTCACACACATTTTCTTTCCTATCATTGGCTGCAAGCCCCACAATGTAACATCATTCACTCTACCTTCCTCCCGTTCCCATTCCTCCTCCTTCCTGCCTTCAGAACTTTGTCCTTGGGCAAATGCTGCCTTCCGATCTCAGAGGGGGGATTATTCTAAGGAGTGCACACCTCCCTAGTCTTATTGTTCCGTTTACAGACCTGTCTATTGTGTGCCGCTCAAGGCTTTTAAAAGCCTTGCTACATTGTATGCAACTACAGACATGGATTGTATTGGCCCCAGAGACCACAATGCAGCCAAGCAGAGAGAGGATCCCGAGAGTCCTCATCTCATCTCTGGTGGACAGCCAGAGCTGTGAGCCTTTGTCCTGGATGAAGGAAACATGTCCTCTCTACCCTCCGCTATGGCACCGGATGTCTTTGGGCTCCTACACAAATGTGAGACTCAGACAAACGGACAAGAGTTAACAGGGCACTGCGAAAACAAACACTTAATAGGAATGTTACTAGTGAAGCCATCACATTGCACCTTGGAGCCATAAACTTATTGCTGAAGCATGAAAATAAACCTGATATAAGGGGGAGAGCATCCGAGACCTCTGCCACATGCTCAACAGTGAGTCACAAGAAGATACTGATGACAGCACACCACCAACTGAAGGCAGTTCCTCACTGCTTCTCAGGAATGTTCCCAAGCCACTCTGAAAGTACAACTCAGAGTTCAAAGTATTTCAGTGAAACATTTTCTTACTTTTGTGCAATTTTAAGATTGTATAAGACATAGCAGTAAGGACTCGTTCTCCTTCAAAAATGTAGATATCCCATATCCGTAGGTTGAGTGTAAATGGAGTCTGTGATTAAAAGTAAAATAGGAATAAGGTTAACAATTTGCCTCATCCTTTATGTACAATTTTATGATTGGGTTTTATAAATACTCACACGATCAAGAAAACACTGAAAAAACCATTTCATTGTGTAAAAACTTGTGTAGATTTCTTGAGAATCCTGGGGAGAAAAATTTAAAAACCTCAAAATGGTTGAACTGCAATAAACAAAGCATGACAATATAAATGCAACACTTAAGGAAGACGGTGGCGGCAGCTGCCCAAACCAGAGAGAACCATCTCACTGGAGTCTTTGCTCTGCTGGATTATAGGTGGTGGGGTTTTGTTTGTTTGTTTGTTTGTTTGCTCTCTCTCTTTTTCTCTTTTACTTGTCAAAATTATAAGAATAAATCCTCTCTTCAGAGAGGACTGTAAGATAATATTTTGACTCTTTAAAAATATTTCACAGTAAAATATCTTTGCTTTACTAAATTGTGTTTTGCAGTAAAAGCTGGTATCATCCTTAAAACATTTTTTCTGTACAAATTTTTAACTCCAAAATTACTAATAAATCATGTATTCTTATAAATTATTGTTTGTTTTATCAGAGGTTTGATTTTATGGATTAGAGCAGTAATAGTACTTTAATATTAAATATTACCAAACGAGTACTCTCAAACAAGTGAGAATGGCAAATGAAATAAACAACACATAAATTAGAAAGGTAACTGGAATTAAAACACAACTACATTATTCTAGCTTTATTCTCGATGTAGGTGGAAGTCAACGTCATGTCTACCTACCAAGTGTTGCTTAAGCTTGGACAGAAATTTACTCAGGATTTTTTCATGGTGCCCTTGGAACCTCAACAGTTTAGGAAAACCATGGACAAAGAAGCCTAGAATATAAAGACAAAGACAGTACTTTATAAATAACAGGTACAAATCTCCATTTTAAAATCCAACATATCTTCTTCATTCATAACTATCAAAAGTGAAAAACTGTATTGCCAAAAATATTTCCTCCACATCAGGGAAATGATTTGGTCTACATTTCAGGTAACGAAACATGTAGCCAAGCATTTGCTTGCTGAAGACCGTCTATAACCTTGTAAAGCCCCAAAAGAGGCCAAGCTATCTCAAGTTAAATGGAAAACTGAGGCACTAAGAAGAAAACAGTCCCTAAAGGCATTTATCAGGAGCGTCTATTGTTCTGCTAAGGTCATATCCTAAATACTAGCCTTTTCATAGGACATTCTGATATTGAGTACTTTGTTTTAATGAAAATACATTACATAACAAACATTTTATCATTCTTTTGAGGTTTACTCCAGCAGTCTGTATTTTATTCCCCAAGTTTTTATCACCTTTAATCTGTTCTATAATCCATCAGCTAAAATAAACTGGGCTATTTTGATGAGATCATGTCAAAAATAAGTGTATTTTAACTTGAACTAATTAGAAAATATAATCTATGCATTTTCTATGAAATTATAAATTGTTAGTATTAACAGTGTGTTTAATTCACTAAGGAGCCTGGTGGGTTATGTGCTGGGCTTTAAGTCACAAGGTAAGCAGTTCAAAACTACCATGGGAGAAAGATGAGGTTTTCTACTCCCGCCAAAATTTACAGCCTAAAATAGCTCAGATTTGCCATTCAATCTTGATGTCCTCAGCTTTCATTTGGATTCTAGATAGCTATAAGTGATACCACTTTCATAGTGGGAATACAAAGAATGGGGTAACCATGACTTACAGCATTTCACAGGCAGACCTAGGACCACGTATCTCTAAGCATATCAATCATAATGACCTAAACTGTATTGTAAATGTAAAGGTTGCAGAATCACTATTAATCACTATTAATATCGCTTTACTGATTAAGTTGGCAGTTAAGTTCTTAGTTAAGCTCTGAAATATGTTTAAAAGAAACGAGTGCTTTCCAAAAGAGCAGTCCTGCTCTGTCCAGAGGGTCAGCCGGAGTCAGAATGGGCTCAGTGGCCATATTTACTTAAATCCGCACAGCTTATCCTGTACTTTACACAGTCCATTAAAAGGGCAAATACACAATGGACTGTGATTTCTCCACATTAGCTTTTTCCAACCTGTGACTTTCTATGTAACTTTGCAAGATATTACATGTTAAAAAAAAATAATCATGGGACAATAACAGTACATTACATATTATCTTCTTGGATACTAGTGATGCAAATGAACCTATTGTTTCTAAATAGCTCTACAAAGTAAAGATATTTCTTTTCCTTTGTTTAACTCAAGCCTCCCAGACTTATTTTATCTTTTGAGTCCATCTCCCCACAAAATATGTTTCTGAAAACTAAAAACTTTGCTCTTTTAAGAATGGGAGTAGCTTTATAATCTAGGCAAGACAGCTTTATAATCTGGGCAAGACAGTTTCTTTATTTTTAATAAATCATTTTATTGGGGGCTCTTATAACAATCCATACATCCATTGTGTCAAGCACATTTGTAGATATGTTGCCATTATTTTCAAAACATTTTTTTTCTACTTGAGCCCTTGGTATCAGCTCCTCTTTTTTCCCTCCCTCCCTCCCCCTTCCCCCTCTTAATAAATTATAATTATAATTATTTTCATATTTTACACTGTCCTCTGTCTCCACCTACAATTCTGTTCTTTGTACACCTGAGGATGGTTAGACGTGGATCATTGCAATCGGTTCCCCCTTTCTCCCTGCACCTTCCCCCTACCCTCATGGTATCACTACTCCCATTACTGTTCCTGAGGGGGGTTATCTGTCCTGGATTCCATGTGTTGAGAGCTCTATCTGTACCAGTGTACATGCTCCGGTGTAGCCGGATTTGTAAGTTAGAACTGGGGTCATGATAGTTGGGGGGCGGGGGGGAGCATTAAAGAACTACAGGAAAATTGTGTGTTTCACTGGTGCTCTATTGCATCCTGACTGGCACGCCCCTTCCTTCTGACCCTTCTATGAGGAGATGAACAGTTATCTACAGATGGGTTTTGGGTCTCCACTCTGACCCCTCTCATTCACATCAATATGATTGTTTTGATAAGACTGTTTCTTAACCGATTCTAAGTTTTCTAAGTGTGTATACAAAGTTCCAGACAAATAAATTCTGTTCCTCTCTTAGCAATCATAAAAAAAAATGATTTTCTATCAGTGCCATGTTCCTGGTCAATTTGATAGGAATGAGTGTTGGAAGAATTTCAAGAAAAACTTGATTTGTATGGATTGTTATAAGAGATGTAAGAGCCTCAATAAAATGATCTTTTCATTAAAAAAAAGAAAGAAAAGCTTGATTTTAGAAAAGTCAACATCCTTGATTAATAACCCTGGTTTTAGGATGCTTAGCTATCACCCGTTTCTTAACTTTTCAGAGATAGCTCAGATTTGCTATTCAATCTTGATGTCCTCAGCCTTCATTTGTGTGGTAGATATATAATCGTTTGTCAATTTGAGGATTAAGAGTGTAGGGGTGGAGTCTAGCTTGTCAATCAGATCATAGCCAATGAGGCCTCTGTGTGGGTATGGCCTTCTCCAGAGAATTCTGGGAAATCCAGTGCTTCCTCCTTGGAGGTGGGAGACTCTGCTCACATCCTGGGAGACACAGCAGCTGACAAGACACACGGACCCTCCCTGATGCGGCCCTGGATGCTGGAGAAGCCCTGCAGAGACCCTGCCAGCCCTGAGATGTTTCCGATGCCACTGGATTCACAGACTCTCTACCCACTGGCCTGTGATCTTCTACATTCGGCATCACTGCATGTGTTTCATGAGTCTGAAGAAGACTTGATAGATTGGTATCGGGCATATGGGCTAATATCATACTTATGGACTTGATCTGGACTGGGTTGGAAGGTTTTCTCAATGTTCAATTGCTCTTGTATATAAATCTCTTTCTTATACACGTACAAATCTCTTTCTTATACTCTTTCTTATACATGTGTCCATGGATTTGTTTCTTTTTTTCTCAAACCCTTGTGTCAAGGGCTGACTTTCCCATGGATTTCTTTCTCTAGTCTACCCAGACTCACACAATTTGGATCCTAGATAGTTATAAGTGATACCACTTTCATAGTGGGAATACAAAGAATGGGTAACCATTACTTATAGTATTTCACAGGCAGACCTAGGACCTAGTATCTCTAAGTACAAGCATATCAATCATAATGACCTAAACTGTACTGCAAATGTAAATGTTAGGATTGCAGAATCATTATTAATATCGCTTTACTGATTAAATTGGCAGCAGTAATTCCTAATGTTAAGCTCTGAAATATGTTTAAAAGAAACGAGTGCTTTCCAAAATTGGACAGTCTTCCACATAATTACATGGTACTTAAATGGTAATATTACATTGTGCTTCAAAATATATCAGCAATACCATCCCACAGTTGAACAAAAGGAAGTTTGATGAAGAGTTGCTTTTTCAAGATGCCTTTTTAAATGATAAGGAGCCCCGGCAGCAGTGTCAGATAAGCATTGGTCAGTCAACCGCAAGACTGATGATTCATTCAAACCTATCGGCTGCTCCGAGGAAGAAAGATGAGGCTCGCCACTCCCATCCACATTTAAGGCCTGGAATCCTATGAGTCGGAATCAACTTGATAGCAGTGGGTTTTGTTTTGTTTTGGTCTACTGGGTGGTAGCTCAATATGATAATGTAGCTGTCCATAAACTGTAAAAATGTCCAAAACAGCTATTTTAGAGATCCCTCCGTCCCACTGCTGTCGAGTAGATTCTGGCTCTACTCGAGAAACATTATTTAGGGTTTCCAAGGCTGTAATCTTTATGGGAGCAGAGCGCATCCACTTTCTCCTGGGGTGAGCTGAGGATAGTATTTGTTAAAAAACTAAACTGAAGAGTGAGAAAATAAATCCAAACACACACACACACACACACACACACACACACAGAGTCCCACAGTACCTCCACAAATTTCACCAGCAAAATGCAGAAGGCCATCATTCTGAAAACACATCACTTTGAACACATGGTGGGGTCCCCAACACACACATACCACCACATAATTGGGAGTGACTGACATGAAAATTATTAGTTTTAGATCATTCTTAAATATTCCTGCTTCTACAAGAGTGACTTTTACTCTCACGAGAACAATTCTACAAACTTTGATATTCTGAACATTTTGGGTTCATCATAAAAAACTGCCCCATAACAAAAGAGTCTCTAACTTCAGAAGTGATCCATCCCTGAGCAGTGCTGGAATTATTCTTTATTTGGTATCACCACATGGGAAATAATAATCTCTACAATACACGGACAAATGCCACTTTTAGTTCCAAGACAAGTTGTACTCCAAGCTCTTTAAAAATAAAGTTGATCACATATGCTTGACAAATGTAAGAAAAAAGTATTAAAAAGCACTGATATTCCAAAACCCAAACACTTCGGCAAGTTTTGAAATACTAAGCAAGCAACTGCCTAGAATGTATTAGTAGCCCTTTATTTAAAATGGCATCATTTTTATGACTGGAAAATAAAACTAAAAAAAAAACCCAAAACACAACAACATTTGGAATATAAAACTAACCAATTATTATGCACCATTTCCTTAAAAGACCTTAGTGTCATCTCACAATTGTGATTTTTCAACAGCATTATGCATCACAAAATACTGACAATGGTAAATATTTATCTGAACAGGTCATTTGTTAACTGCTTAAAAGCTTTGAACTGAAAGCATCTCTTGCTTATCCAATACAGTTTTATTTTCTAAATTGTTCTGAACCTAAACTAGTTTCCTTTGATGGGGGATAAGTCAGATAAGAATTTTCACGTGCCAACAATATACTTTAATAAAGCATTAGAGGAAAACCTACATGAACAAAAATGTTTAGAAAAGTTAAACAACAACAAATTTGAAGAAATGAGTCATAAATATTTATTCATTGAACAAGTCATTAAGTTTGCTATACTCGCTCTACTAAGCACTTCTTATTTTTTCCTTTACATGCTGCCCCTTGTCTATTCCATTTTGAAAGGTGGCATTTTCTCACCATGCATGGCATGTTTGGGTCCTGAGAATAGTTTGACCAGGGCCCAGAAGGCATCTTCTTCATTCATATACATAAGGAGTAAAGCTGTGATCTGGCTCATTCCCTGACAGTATCCAACTTCCTAAAGAGTTCATGAAAACAAAGGAAAAAAATTTAAATCAAATTATATGCATAGGCACATTAAAACTTTGATCTATAAAATAACAGAAAATGCCTAACACCACATTAATTGGCAAGTATGATTTCTTTATAATACTATGCCACATATTGTAAGAGTAAAATGCTGAGTAAATCAAGAATGACTACAGCTATATACTTCTTTACTGTTCCATACTACGAGACTTTTTAAAAAGAGCAATACTAGTATTACATTTCTTTTTCATGTATGGTTTCTCAGCTCAGTATATTCATCTTTGCTCAATTGTTGCTATTTTTCTCCTACACTTCCCAATTGGTGTCTGGGTTGCATGTCAGGCTGCTAATCACTAGGTCAGTGGTTTGTAGGGTTTCTACTCCTATAAAGAGTTACAGTCTCACACTTACAGGGGAAGTTCTACCCTGTTCTATGGGGTCACTATGCATTGGAATCAACTCAATGGAAGTGAGATCTTTTTTTAATCACCAATTTGATTTGTGTCTACATTTTTGAATTCTAAAGAACACACATTCCAGGATGCTCACCCAGCCCACATCCTCTCTGAGAGATGCCCACAACCCCCTCTTAGTCACTCCCTTAGGGTGTCACCTTTGTGATTCTTGCTTGTACCATAGATATCAGTATTGATGGAACAATGGAGGGCACTTGACCCGGGGGCGGGGATAATTAATTACTTGAGAGTGACTGATCAGATATGAAATTAAAACAAAGCCACACACTACATTGAAGTGGTGGTATATACTTGATAGAATGGTAAAGAATACATTTCAAAGGGGCACCAGGAGACCTGAGACACGTAAAGATTGCTATCTCTATCATTTAAAGATTGCTATCTCTATCATTGAAAGCTTCAACTTTGCAGCTCTAATTCCTATGAGGCCCAAATAGTGTGTCATTTCCACGAGAAGTCCTTAACCCCCTTTTTAACTTGCCCTCGTTTTAGTGACTTTCTGTTCCTTGTAAACTTATAAAGGTCTTAATAATAATAGAAATTATACTTCTAAGGTTCAAAAGTTATACTCCCTGAAACCAGTCAACAGCATTTATTTAACACCCACATCATGTTCAACACTAATGAACCTTTCCCCAACTTACCTTTTCCCTCCACAGTGGTAAATGCCTCAAGAATAGTATGCTCCATAGCCAGAGTTTTGTTTCATCGTCAACCCTGGGAATAGCAACTCGTGCATGTGCTGCCCTATTTGGACCTTACCTAATTGTTAGAACGTGATTCTAAAAGGCAAACTACTCAAGAGCAATGAAGAGTTACCTAAAAAGTCAAGCAAATATTTTTCTGGCCCTTGCAATTCCACAGCACAAAAGAAAAGCCAGGTGGGGTTTTCCAATTCTATTTATACATAAAGTCAATCTTTAACTGACTACAATAACACTCTGGGAAGAAGCATTCTTGTCAGCAGCCTTTTATGTGTTTTCTTCTAATGGAAGCATCAAGCAGGGTGGAAAATAAGATGGAGTTAGAAATACTACAAGGTTCCTTGATACAATACAAAACTGAGCCACGGAGCAAATAGAGCATGAGGGACAGGGATAATAGATCCTACAGATCCATATTACCAATACTGTATGAGCATCATCCCCAACTTCCTGCCCTGGAAGCTCATTCTGTTTCATTTGCTTAAAAACTGAAACCAATCAAATAGCAAAACAACTGAGAGAGAGAGGCGGGGTGGGGAGGACAGGGCAGTAGGATCTATTACCCAAGAGTTTAGTTTGAGATCACCTACCTACAGGTGGTTTATAGAAAGATTACTGCGGGGTTAAGAGACTGTAGAGACGATCTAGCACTGAGAAGAAAAACTAGAAAAGTGATGCCAGTTCCCGAGAAGACAACTCAAAGAACTGCTGGCCAACTGCTCTAACTTACCGTATTATAAATAGAATACGCAGCAAGGACATGGAATAAGGATTGTTGCCTAAGGAAAAACAAGTACATTAAACACAAGTTATTTCACATATTTTAAATTATAAACATTTTTATAACAAACAAGTTAGCTGAAAGTAAATAAATACCAATACAATTACTACTGTAATAAAAAAGTTATTTACATAATACTCTACATAGTCTAAAACTGAGACTAGATAACATTCAATCTGTTAGGTGAAAAATTATATACCATATTTGTTGACCTCTGGTTTAATGTTCTCATTCTAAAATCATCACCATAAAAGCACAAGGCTTAAGAGGATAGTGGAATGGCCTTCTGAAGATTTAGTGACAACACTGGCTGCATGGCAATACCTTGTGGAGCTGAGGTATTGTCCTCAAGGATACTGTATATTATATGCTTTAAGTCAGTGTTCAGTCTGTGGTGTTAGTTGTTTTCACTCAGGATTTACAGGTGAATGACGGGGTGACGTAAGAGTCACTATTATCTCTAATAATAACAATGTTAACTGTGATAATTATTAACTCTAATTATCATTTAGTAATTTTAAGACTTGTTATTATATATAATAATGTCACCCTTTCATTCTAATAGGTGCACTGGTGACATAGGAGCAGTGGTTACGAGCTGGGTGGCAATTCATAAGGTCAGCAGTTTAAAACCACCAGCCGCTTCTTGGAAGAAAGATGGTACTTTCTTCTCGAGTAAGAGTTAGTTATGGGCTCGGAAACCCACAGGGGCAGTTCTACCCTGCCCTATAGGGTCACCATAGTTAGTTATCTCTAATAATTCACTATCAATACTTTTGCTTCCTATGTCTGTAATCATGGGTCCTGCTGATCTAGAAGTAATAGTTTCAAAGGAGGAAATGTTTCCATCAGAAGACAAAAGAACAATTCCACTGAACTGGAAGCTGAAATTGCCACTCAGCCACTTTAGTCTTCTCATGCTTCTGAATCAATAGGCAAAGAAGGGGGCTACTCTATTGACTGACGTTTGTTATCAAGGAGAACTGGGTATCACACATGGAGGTAAGGAAAAGTATGTCTGAATTACAGGATATCTACCATGCTTTATAATTCTGGTCTGTGAAAAACTCTAACCACCCAGTTCAGGCAAGACTATTGATGGCTACTTGCTGAGAAAAATGGGAACATGGATTGATAGTGAAAAGCCAATAGTTCTGAATACCAGCCATGACCATATGCTGAGCTGTTGAAATAAGAACTGTACTCATTCACTCACTGACATCGAATCAATGCTGGTTCATAGCGACCCACTGTGGGTTTCCGAGACTGTGATTGTTTACAGGCGTAGAAAGCCCAATCTCTCTTCCTCGGAGCCCCTGGTGGTTTCCAACTGCCAACCATCTGCAGTGCGTAACCACTATACCACCAGGACTCCTAGAACAGCAATAGTGATGAGTGTTTCTTCTGCGTATTGTGATAAATGCTTGAATATACATTAACCAAGTATTTGTTTTCTTTTTCTCATCCGCTACCATCTAACAAAAGATGAATCAAAAATCAACAATAGTTCAATTTATGTCACAATACCGATGTTACAGGATATCAAGTGAGAAGGATGAACATGAATCATCTAAGATTGTGCTTCCTCTTGTATGGAAAAATTAGTATATTTTTACTTGTAACAAGATTAGTGTATCATGTTAAGCAGTAGTGATAACATTCTTGTGTGTGTGTGTGTGTGTGTGTGTGTGTGTTTTGAGCATATATGTAACAAATCATTTACCAAACCAACATTTTTTATGTGTACAATTCAGGGTCACTTGTTATATTTATCTTTTATCTTTATTTGGAGATTATGAACAGTTTAAGAAAATGTATACAAGTGCCAAGTTGACGAGGGGTGGAGTGTGAGAGTTTCATATGTCAACTTGGCTAAGCCACAGTACCCACTTCTTCAACTGAGTACAAATTTCGATGGTGACTATAAACAGAAGAGATTATCCCAGATAACCTGGTTATGTCTGAATCAATAAGCCTTAAGAGACCAGTTCAGCCTTTCTTGAAGAAGAAATTCTGCCCATGGATTCAGCTTCCGCTCATGCCCAAGAGTTCCAACCTGATGGCTTACCTTATGGATTTCAGACTTGCCTTGTCAGCCCTCACAAATATATAAGCTTGCAAAGCACTCTCACTGTATATCTCCTACAGGTTGTTCTCTCATGTAAGTATTAGCAAAATTGTGTCTTTCCTTCATAAACTGTCATAGCAGTGATATATTCCATGGCAGTCAATGTGTAATACTAATGCTCTGACTTCTATATTGAGTTAGTATAAGAGCAACATAATTTCCTTTTTTCATTTTAGTTTCATTTATGCATAGGATCAGAGTACTATGAATATATTTACCACTTACAGTTCTCAAGGAATAACACTGCTTTTCTATAACATTTTAAATAAAATATCTACCATATATTTTCCTAATTCCAAAATTATAAAATTCCAATTGGATAGTACCTACTATATCAAAAGGTTAAAACATTTAAGTTAACTTATGTTCTAAGTTTCATACAACAGACTCAAACAATCTACAAAAGGTTAAAAACCTTTAGCACCTGAATTAAAATTGCAGTCTACAGAAGTTGATGTTAATAAAGGTTTTGATAGAGACTACTTCTCAAGTCTATTGGCATTTAACAATATTAAATGGTACTTACTTAACACCGTATCTGTCTCTAAACATAATATGGTCCCTAAATGTGCGGTTGACATCAAGGTCAATTTGTCTGATGTCAGGTGAACAACCCCGTGCTCTGTGCTTTAATTTCTGAAGAGGAAAAGAAATTACATTTTTTAAAAGTACATTTTAATAGAATCCATTAGTGAAAGTCTCTAAGAAATATTAAAATAAACCACCCTCTCTCTTTTTGTTTTCAGTTTAAGAAAATCATTGCTGTGGTCAAAAACCAAACTTAGAAGGTTCACAAGGCCAGCATCCCTTCCATGCAGGTTTCCATCTCTGCAGCTCCCTTCTCCCTCCCTTTCCACCTTTTCCCCCTTGCAATCTGCCAGTATAGTTAGAGTTGTGTCTATTTTTCAATCCTGCAGTTTGTGCTATAAAATTAGGTAAAAGCTCTTCATGGCTGAACCACATAGTCGCTACTGATTTCCTTCCTTTCCTGCACAAGTCTGTCTTCCTTGAAGCTACCTACATATTGCATTGTTTCTTGATTTGTCAGTCACTAGTTCTGTCCCAAACTCACACTAAGTTGTGAGATCACCTTTGGAGATGTTCAAGCAGGGTAAATATTCTACCAATTTCATCTTCTTACAGTCGTCTTGCTCAGATCACTCTGCCCAGCTCCAGTGTGGGTGGCATCCTCAGCGAGGCTGCTGCCCGGCTGTCTTCAAACCTCTCCTCAAGAGCCTCTAGCCATCCCTTCGCTTTTCTCTCATGTGGAGTGCCCTGGGTCCTGTATTCCATCTTCTTTGCTCTGGGTTTATTCTCTTGCTCTAGAGGAGCATGACTTCCCGTAGCTCCTGGGGAAGGCTGCACAGAAGATACATTTTTTTGAAACTTTGAATCTACTCTCACACTTTATAGAGTTTGGCTGCTGTAGAACGAAGTTGGAGAATATCCTTGCTTGAAAGGCACTGTTTCACTGTCATTTAGCTTCTGGTGTTGCTCTTCTAACTTTTCAAAATATGAAATCATTTGTTTTTAATTGGGAGGAGTTGACTTTTCTCACTATAAGCCAGTGTCTTGTCTATATCCTGCAACTGCCGTTTTTTTCTTGACATGCACCTATTTTTATCCACGGCCTTTTGTCTTAGCAACTCCTATCTCACTTCTGAGAGCTTTTCTTCAACAGTTCCCTTGTTGATACCCTAATCCCCCTACCCCATTCCCATTTTCTCTTTCTTGAACTCTTTATGATGTGAGACCTCCTGGCTTGTCATGTAATTTTCTCCACTATTTCCTGTTATTGTGTTTTTGTTTTTAATCCACTTTCTGGGAAAATTCTTCATATTTTCATTTTCAAACGCTCCTCATAAGTTTTTCATCTTATAACTTGTTTTTCTTGGGTTATTTTTTCACAATATCATGTACTTATTTTGTGACTACAATGTCTACTTTTGTCTCTGCAGATATTGACAGATTTAATTTTTCCCCCTCATTCTATAGTTTTGCACACGTTTTTGTTTGTTTTTCCAGTTGTTAGTTTTGGTTTGTCTTTCCTGATAGTTTCTGGCTTCAAATGAATAATGCTACATCTTTTGTCTACTTATATTGAAAAAAATTGGATTGTCAAAAAATCCTAAAAGGTAGGTTAAAACCTCTGGGTATAACGGCGGGGGCTTCCAAACTGTTCATTGTACCGTGATCTGGCTGGGCAGTTAAACTGGTGTTCCCCGGTGGGTTTGTTCTCTTGACTGGTTAGTCATATTCTTCAAAGAAGACTCTTCTGAGCTTCTGCTTAGAAGACAAGCACCTAGCTGCCGACATTTGGGGAGCTGAGTGGTGTAAAGAGTGGACATGTCCCACATTCAGCGTACTCAAGTCCTCTGCGTTCATCACAGCCGTCCCACCCTCAGCAATGCCGTATGTCCGTCTGCAGGCTCTGTGCTATCCTCCCCCAGCAACAGAACTTCAGAGTGGGGGAGGCGTCTAGGGGCCCTAACTGCTTTTTAGACAGGCTTTCAGCTACTTGTCCTGTCTTTCAGATTACCTCCACCTGCTGGTGTTGGCAATTTTCAAATATTTTGGAGATCTGGGGACATAAATCAGGTTGGGTTTCCAATTTTTCACTACCAGCCTAAATTTTCACTTGACTGAGCATACTGAGATTACTATATGTACATCTACATTATGGTTTCCAAAAAGTGGGTAGCTGTTATCTTTTCTTCCCATATTCTTATTCCTTGGCAGTTTGCCTTTAAAAAACACCCTGTGCTGTCAATTTAATGGCATTTCAGGAAAGGAAGCTAAATAAGTAGACTTAATCTCCATGTTTAATCAGAAGGGAGATTAAATTTATATTAATTTATATTTAACTGTGTGTAAGCATAACTAAGCATTTATATATATACATATCCATCCATCCTGTACTGGTTAACATATTTATACTAAATTCAATCTCAAGTACAAATAAAAATGTGTTAATGATTGGTTGAAGCTAAAGTGGGAAGAAGGGGACCTGGGTATGCCTGGAATAGTTGTGTGTGTGTCTAAGTGTTCTGTGAGTGTACATATTTTTGTGAGTGTTTTGAGGTGAGACCTCAGAAGAAAAGTTTCGGCAGCTTTTTAAAACATGAAGAATATTTGGTCTTTTCGGAGAGTCCTCCAGATGGAAGGGAGTTCTGGGGGTACAGTTATACATTGGGCTGCTAACCACGAGGCAGGCAGTCCAAACACAGCAGCTGCCTTCAGGGGAGAACCATGATGCTTTCTGCTGCCAAAGGGGCAGTTTTACTCTGTCCTATGGGGTTGTCATGAGTTGGAATTGACAAAATAGCAGTAGGTTTTCTTTAAATTTTTTTTGCAAGATGGAGAAAATATATAAAGTATTATATAAGAATCATAATATCACCAAAATGCTATTATTTCTGATAAACTCTGATCCAGAAGGAAATACAAAAATGTGGCTTAAAAAGCAAAATAAAAACCGATACATGTTTCCTTTTTTAACATCTAAGGGGGAAAAAATAGTAGAGGTTTCAATTATTGTTCCATAAACCTCCTGACAAATGGTTGAATACAGAAACACGAGGAGAACGTGCCTGATAGGACATACTTTTTAAAAAGCTTTACAATAAAATTTAATTGGGAGAGAGAAAAACGCCCAAACAATCTGCAGTATCAGTGAGTTGCTCTACAGGACAAACTCCAACAGAAGAAGAGTCCAGTGAAGTGAGTTAGAATAAAATTTACAAGTGAGGTGCATTATTCATGGCCCACAATACTTACAAACGAATGCAAAGCATACAACAACGCAGACACATTCATCTTAATGAAAAGAGGAAAACAAATTCTCGTGAACAGAGATTGGTAGGTTAAGATCCATGAGGGACACAACAATATTAAAAATAGACATTTTAACGTAAACCTCATGAACCCATAAACCCGAGGGCAGAAATGCAGTGAAAAACATGTAGATGAAAACCTGCAACATCATTGTGGGTTTGGCTTACAAGATTATTGGGCCAAGGTAAGGCTATAGATGAAGCTTGTTTACCGCTACGCACTGAGCCTCTACCATTTTAAGGTGCATCGTGGGCACCAGAGCGACAAACACAGAGGAGATGCAATGGAAACTACACAGTAGAAAGGAGTAAATGAGAGCACCGGCCTAAGAGCTGGGCAGCCTGGATTTTATACCGGCCTCTGCCTGCTTCTAAGATACAGTGGCCTTGGGGAGGTCACTGAACCTCGCAAAGCTCAGCCTGCTCATCAGTAAAATGAGACTCCCATAATGGTAATAATAACAACAACAATATCCACCTTGCTTCTTGGCATTGTTGGAAGCGGAAAATGACTTAATTTACACGAAACATGTAGAATAGCGCCCACACATAAAAGTACTCGTATAATGTTAGCTTTCTTCCAGGTAAAGAAGGAACTGTTGTTTTAAAGCATGAGAGGGCTTTAAAAAGCTCATGGGAAAGATGGGATAAAATACAGCTGTACACTCTTAGCAGACAAGAAGAGGTGACTTTAGTCCTGGTGAAGATCCAATTTGCGGAAAATGTGTGAAGTACAATGTATAACACTTCTGGAGAAAAAAAATTAGAAAGCCAGGGTGGAATAGGAAGAGTTGGTTTACACGTAATATTGAGGGAAGCACAAATAATGAAAATAATGTGTATGATACTGGAGCATATAGCTATTGTTGAGCAAGTAACTTTTTTCATTTGTTAAACTATTGTCTTTTACTAAATGGCTCTCATGTTAACCAGGCTTTGGGAATTTTACTGTACATAGAAAAAGCTCAACATACACATTATGACTATGAGTCTACTACTAGCAACTAGATTAAGGGTGACTTTCTTTTTTCATTAAAAAAAAGTTACTGAGCACCTATTATATAGTTCATACACATATATTAAGTGCTGGGGTTGTATTCATATATGGTATCTCAGGCATACTTCAGTGTAGCAGTGGCTCCTAAAACTATAAACCCCAAAAACCAAATATGTGCTCAAGAGTCTAAAATAATTTCAAACTCTAAAATTCTAAGACATAAATTCACAGTCTGTACAGGATCTAAAGAGCAATATTTAAAATCTCCTAGTCATACAAATGAGTAACTCTAAATTAACCACTACTCATTATCTTTCAACTTCATGAAGCCTTACCTGAATATATATATATAAAGAAACAGAAAAATATCAAAAGAGCATTCTAAAGTTTTTTTTCAATAATTGGCTTTAGCCTTAAGCTATCAATTATTTTTTTCTAATTTTCTACTTTAATTTATTCTATTTATATACATTTTCTAAGAAATGCATCTTAAAATTTATGATCTAAGACTGTTTTATCATCTTTAAAATTTTTTCTCATTCCTTTTGAAGGATGACATAAAATTTAGGTTTAAAAAGTTATCACTCGGATTACAAAGAGGTAAATTCACTGAACTGGCTAATTAGGGGAAAGCATTTCCAATCACCAAGGCAATAATACGTATGTATTAATAATCTTGAGTACAAAGTATTTTTTCATATGTAAAGATAGCTTATTGTATACACACAGCTACTGGATAAATGCCATTATTTTCCCATAAACCCTAAAGCTGACACTGTAAATCTTTTAGCAAAAAAATCGTTAGTAAATCTCTTTATGAAAATTACACTGGAAAAAAAAAGAAAGAAAATTATACTGGAAAGGAATGGTTACAATCAGGTAATACTCAATATTTCTTACAAGTATGCCCCAACATTGATGGTTCATTTTAAGTTACTTGTATTTGAAAAGCACTTGAAAATTACTGATTAATACAGAATAAATAGTTCAGCTTAAGGATATGAAAGTTATGAAGTACATTGCAACAAACAAATAAGTAAAAACAACAAAGAAACATATTGGGCCTTTAAAATCCAAAGTAGTTTAATTTTAATATAATCCAAATGATACTATGAATATCTAACACATCACCTTGAAAGCTAAAAGAAATGGACCTTACTTTTGAATTTCAAAATAACGAGTTAGCTTTAGATACTCACACTATAAAGATCTCTTGTTTCCTCTTTCATTTTAGGGATCTCAAGAAGCAAAGCCCACACTTCACCTCTGAGCTGGAGGGGAATGCCTTTGTAAATTCTCCTATGAAACTTATTGAAAGAAAAATAAATGCAAGGTTACAAACTGACAAAAGCTTACCCTAGTACCTTAAAATCAAACTAGTCAATATATCGATCTTTTATTTTCACACTACTAACTAGTTAAGGACCCCTGGTGGCACCGTAGGTTAGGCACCGGGCTACTAACTACAAGGTCAGTGGTACAAGCCCACCACCCCACTCACCACCAGTGGCTCTGTGGAAGAAAAATGAAACGGTCTGTTCAGTAAAAATGTACAGTCTCGTGGTCATTATAGATGGGAACTGATTCCTTTTTATAACTTTTTTGGGTGAATTATGGTAAGTGGATGTTTACAAAGCCGATCATCAGTTTTACATTCAACATTTCATAAACTTATTTTTAAAACCTTATCCATTGCAATATCCTCACTGCACCATCATGTATCCCTGTTCTCTCTGCATTTCTCATTTCCATCATTCCTCCTTTCCTAACCCTCTGAGCTTGGTCTTTGGGTAAATGCTACCCTTCTGATCTTAAATGGTTGATTATTCTCACACAGGAAGGGGGCTGTAGGAGATGGAGCGGGGTGGTGAGTTCGGTTCCAAACCCTGAGGGATAAGGGCCATAGGCTGTAGAAGTTCCACCAGTCTTTATCTGCCTAGTAAGCCTGGTCTCTATTTTGATTTTGAGTTTTGTCCAAATTTTTCTCCTACTCTCTCTGGGACCTTCGGATGTGATTCTTTTCAGAGAAGTTGGCAGTGTTTGGCATGTATATTGTAATTTTCAACATTCTTCTCTCCTCCAGGCAGGGAGAGACCAATAATTGCAACTTTGCTGGCCGTTCATGAACTATTAAGTCCCCCATCACGTCTCACTCATGTAGGGTTTAGAACATTGTCTTTTTGAACTCTATTATGTTAATTGGCCATGGCATCGCCAGATATTATGATGCTGAGGCCCCAAGCCAGTGACTCATTCCCTTAAGATACTTGTTTTGTCTAAGAAGTTTTTATAACTACACCTTCCCCATGCTCTCCTGAAGGATACAGTTTAATATGGCACATTTGGATCATGTCATCTCCACTTTTCAACCATTATGAGACATATATACTAAACGGGTAGAATAAACAAGAAAATGTCAAATATGACTAGTTTTTGCATACCATTAAGGTGTTTTTAAAATAACAAGAAAATTAGTCTATTATCTTTGTTAAAATGCAGGCATTCCCCAAATTGTAAATATTTGATTTACCCATTCCCTGTAGTATGAGTAATTTACCATACAGTTTCTTCCTTTTTCCGTATACACCTAAAACATATTCTCTATAGCAAAAAGGGCTGCCTTGTGTCCTTGTGGCATGTACAGGGTGCTGTGTGACCCTAATCTCTGCCCACCCCCTCTCTCAGGGACATTCAAAGTCCTTTCAGTCTCTTCTCATCCTCCTCCAGAGTCTGCATTTCATAAAATGAATATAGGGACAACAGCACATAGCGTTTCCATTTTTCTGCCCAATAAGACTTAATAAAATAATGAGTATAAAACAGGATAATATTAAGAAAATCCAAGTACGAAAAGTATTAAACTAATGATAATATAACTGGCTCAAAACTTAAAATGTACAAAGAATGTTTCTGGAATTCAAGTTGTAAAAGTCAAAGAAGCAAATATGTATGCAAGTCATATACAACAGGAAGAGAAAGTCTAAGACTCTCAAAAAAGAATTTTTAAAAAATCATTTTATTGGGGTCTGGTACAACTCTTATTACAATCCATACATAAATCCATTGTGTCAAGCACATTTGTACATTTGTTGCCATCATCATTCTCAAAACATTTGCTTTCTACTTGAGCCCTTGATATCAGCTCATTTCCCCCTCCCTCCCAAACCCTTGATAATTTATAAATTATTATTCTTTTGTCATATCTTACTGTCTGACATCTCCCTTCACCCACCTTTCTGTTGTCCATCACCCAGGGAGGAGGTTATATGTAGGATCCTTGTAATCGGTTCCCCCTTTCTACCCCACCTTCCCTCCACCCTCCCACTATGGCAGTGTTTGGCTGTATATTGTAATTTTCAACATTATTCTCTCCTCCAGGCAGGGAGGACCACTGGTCGTGAAGGGATCATTCAACATTCCTCTCTCTTCCAGGCAGGGAGGACCACTGGTCCTGAAGGGATCATCTGTCCTGGATTCCCTGTGTTTCCAGTTCCTGTCTGTACCAATATACATCCTCTGGTCTAGCCAGATTTGTTAATGATGCTTATTGGTATTCAAACATGTACACACTTACTTGAGACGCAAAACATTCTATGGTTAAGCAGCTTTCCTAACAAGTTCTAACTGCCTTGGAAACTCTGGAAAGTTCAAAAGCAAAGTAGGAATTATATCACAGCACAACAGTTAAAACGAAATTTGCTTAATTGCAAAGGTAGTGGAGAATATTTCATCTAAATAGTATCTCATATTTTTCTTCAACAATTCTGTAACGCAAGCAAACCCACTGCTATCAAATCGATTCTGACTCTTTGTGACCCCTACATAGGATTTCCGAGGCTTAAGTTTTTAATGGGAGCAGCAAGCCTCATCTTTCTCCTGAGGAGTGGCTGGGCTATGAACTTGTGGTTAGCAGTCACAAAGCAGGCCTTCATTACAAACCCAACAGCACCCCCAGGGCGCAGTGATGCAGGCAAAGCAGGTGCTATTCCATTGTAAAAGCGAAAGACCAAGGGACAGGAAAGTAGTTTGCCTCAGTCAAAGAGGTTCATCTTCTCATTTCTAAGTCATGGTTCTTCTGGTCGAACCACACTACCTCATTCAGATTACAACATTATTAAAGTAATAGAATGTATCAATAGGTGAGAAGCTGGTTATTGCCAGGAGAAGTAAATGAGAGTGGGGACAGGGATGAGCATAAAGATGAACAGTCAAAATAGTGGTAAAAAGGGTTACACTAACATTTTCTGACTGTGTATTATAAGGCTGCATTATGCTATATGTTATATGAAACACATGCTATATGTTTCCATGTATTCCTTGTAACATTCCTAAAGAGGGAGTTATTATTTCCCCCTTTTACAGATGAGAAAATTAAGATGTAGAAAGGTTAAATGATCTAGTTTCTTTCTAGACCTTGGTGACCTGGCCATGTGCTAGACTATTGGGACTTTAGACTCTAGTCTTTGCAGCCACACAACATCCTTCATAGGCCATGCCAGAAGGACTCAATGCGGAAACCCCACTAAGTGAACTGGGCTTTACCTCAAACTCACCTATAGCCAACCCTTGATTGTAAGGCTGCAACTCCCTAATGTAAGAAGAAGCATATGACTGCTAGCCCAAGGGTATAGAAGTTGTGGACGCTGGACTTTGGTTCAGATCTTTTGCCTTGAAAGTGCCCAGTGAATGATGGGTCTGGACTACCATATACTTACTATTTTAATGCCCTTCTTGTTTTATTATAACATGTATATAACATGTATTATAACATGTATTAACATGTATTAACCTGGTAGGTGTGGGTCTGCCACTGTCAATAAATATTATTGGAAGTTTTGCCCCATCACCATGCCCCAATGTCTGTGTAAAATGTCCAGTCACGTAAGAGTTTAATCTGTACACGTTCAACAATTCATGTACTGTGGTTCATAAAAGGAGGAAGGGAGGGAGGAAAGTGGAAGGAGAAAGAAAAGTTAACTAGCTCAAAGTCATACACTAATAAGCTGTGGTGAAAGGATTCAAATTCAGGCAATCTGACTATGAAACCTATAATCGTATAACCACTGTAGAGAATTTCTACAGTTAGATTTTAACAATTAATTTGTTCCATTTGAAACAATTTTTTTACAAATCTATTTCATGGATATTATTATAAAATCTTAAAAAAAAAAAAAGGTTGACTGGCATCTGTCTTCTTCCCCCAAGTATCTTTGATCATTTGCCAATAAAATCAAATTACATATTTCAGATCGATTTAAAAGCCATCAACATTTTAAAGTTCTATCAAATGGCATAATGCTTTCCATACTTTTCACTAGCTTTAGTAATTTTGAGACAGTAATAAATGTCCCAGTCTGTGCCATAAGTCCATGTCATTATTGGTTACTTTTGAGTGAACTTTGGGCTCAATTTTGAGACCTTCAAACGGCCCCACCCCCACCCGCCTTGTGTACATTCACTCTGCATGGTGCTTGTGTTCTTTATCGCCTCACCAGTTTATTCAATCAGAACTGCTCTGCTGGCTCCTTCAATTCTGTCTTCACAGTGTCACTGTATCTCAGCCTAAAATTTTTACAACGTTGCCGTTTTCTTCTGAGTTTTGATTTACAAACACCCGAAGGGAAAGCTGGCATGAAAGAGCAGTACAATGAAAGAAGCTCTAGTGTAGTGGCTGTCAAGCCCATTCCTGCACCTACTGACACTGCAGTGCAGAGTAGAACGCCCTAGGGCTCCTGAGCGTGTAAGTCTTTGCAGGCCCAGCTAGCCTTGCTCCCTTGGATTGGCTGGTGGTGGAACGGTATGGCCCACTATGCCATGGGGGCTCCTTGGGCAGACTCCTAAGGGAGCCATGTGTCAGAATCAATTCGACAGCAGTGGGTCTGGTTTGGTTTGAGAACTGTGGCACAGCAGTTAAGAAGCCAGCTGCTGAGAAGATGGTGGTCAAACCCACAAGAGGTCCCGCCCGGGGCAGTAAGAGAGGTTCTCCATGGAAGAAGACCTGGAGATCGGCTCTGGTAAAGACGACAACCCAGAAACCCCCCTGGGGAGTTAGAATTCACTTCACAGAACTAACAACAGAGTGTGGACATAGCATTCCCTGCTTGCCAGTAACAAGCTGTGTAGCCTTGGGAAAAGTACTGATAAACAATATGCCTCTCTTTCCCCTCCAGGACAATAAAATACTGGCTAATATAGCCTCAAAAGTCCATTCAGTGATTTGATCAACAAAATATATGTGCATCTACAGTAAGCTGACTACTGTGACATAGTGCAGACACAACTATAACACAATTGGCTAAATCAGAATGATCTTCGCAAAAAGAGATGCTGTCATTTAGTAGGATGTATTTTGAAAATACATTCTGACTATACCTAAGCGAACAGTCACTGTGAGAACCAACAAGCCACCCAAACATCCTTCACGGATTTTTTTTTCCTCAGAACTTGTTTATTGTTTTAATTAAAATCTTCTCTATCAGAGTTACATGTTTATTTCAATATTTTTACATTTTTCTTTGTATTACTACTGTAAGTATGGACAGAAAACAGATCTAACCTTTGGAAGGGAAGAAAAATATATGCTATTTTTTTTTACGTCAATGGAATTTCAAACTAGATATGACTTGAAGGCTGTAAGTCTTTTAGAAGGTGCATTGTTTCACACCAAATTGGACCCTATGCATCATCAAATGACTCTAGCAGTATAGTTGTGGGATAGTGCTTTAAAATTATACATCAAAGAAATGGTTCTGTTAAAATCTATCTTAATGGGAACTGCATTAGCCAGAGTTGCTGTCAGCATAATGGCCTCATGGAATTGCTCATTTTTACAGAGGCTTACATACTTTCATAGACTCATGTGTGCTAGAGAACATAAAGCCAAAATTCTACAAATAGTATATTATACTGAGAGTGATTGGTGTAAGGCATCAAAATTTATTCTGTAACTACCACTTGAGCAATCTTTTCACAAAGATGCAAGGTAAAGTAGTTGTCAACTTTAGGCCAATCTTAAGAGACAGCATTGTATTAAACAAGAACACGGGTGTTGTAACTAGTATTCTACTCTGAGTCCTCTTAAAAACATCCCGAGTTTTAAATCGAATGCTAAAATTGCCATTAGCATTAAAGTTCCAAATAAGCTCACTCCTGATGAAAATAAAATAATCAGAGCTTGACAGACTTTAACGTAAGAATATTTAAGTTATCTCAAAAAGGTAAATGACATTAGCCCTGTGAGATACTTCATGACAAAAATTTTTAACAGTTCACGGCACATAAGGCTAATGTAATTTAAGCTCATTCTTAAAAATTCATAGCAAATATCATAGTATGGAAGACTTCAGAATCCTAGAGTAAAGTAACCTTACTTACCTTTTTAACTGATTTTCCCAAGTTTATTTAACCAAGGAAATTCTTCTCATGTAATACTAAGTGTCCGGTACTATTCTATGGACTTTATCTAATTTACATAACCCTATGACGTATGTTCTGGTGGCACAGTGTGTGGAAGTAGTGGGCTGGTAAGCACAAGACAGGCAAACCAAACCTACCTGCTGCTCTGTAGGAGGCAGATAAGGCAAGTGCGAAGTCTCAGAAAGGCCTGCGAAGCAGCTCTGCCCCATCTCATGGAGTTGTTATGAGTCGGAATGGACTAGATGGCAGTGGGTTTCAGTTTGGGTTATGAGGTGAGTCCTATTATAATCCCCATTTTACAGATAGCCAACTAAGGGGTGGGAGGTTAAATACCGAGCCTAAGATCATACAGTTAGTAAGTGACAGAGCTTGGGATTGAACCCAGGAAAGTCTGGATTTAGTACCTGTCTCTTAATCATTACGCTATAGTGCTTCAATATAATATTCATTGAGCAAACATGCAAAGAACTGCTGCTATTCCTTAGAATTCTTGTTGGCACATGCTGGCATACAGTAACCAATTATCCATAGAAAAAAAGAAAAATTGCCTCATAGAAAAAAGTGTGAGGAAAGGGCCAAAAAAGCTAGCAGTTGCTTTTTGTTGGGTGATGTTGCTAGGTGCCATCAAGTCAGTTGCAACTGACAGGGACCCGGACCCTGTGCACAAGAGAACCAAACACTGCCCAGTCCTGGGCCAGCCTCACAATCGTTCTTATGTTTGAGCCCCTTTTGCAGTCACTGTCAATCTACCTTGTCGAGGGACCTCCTCTTTTCACTGCCCTGCTCCTTTACCAAGCATGATGTCCTTCTCCAGGGACTGGTCTCTCCTGACATGTTCAAAGTATGAGAAATGAAATCTTGCCATCCTTGCTTTTAAGGAGCATTCTGGTTTTGTATCTTCCAAGACAGATGTTTGTGTTTTTTGGCATTCCTTGGTACTTTCAATATTCCTCACCAGCACCATAATTCAAATGTTATTGATTCCTCTTTGGTCTTATACAACGTCCAACTTTCACATACATATGATGCAATGACAATACTACTGCTTGGGTAAGGCACACTTGGTCCTTATGGTAACATCCCTGCTTTTCAACACCTCAAAGAGATCTTGTGCCGCAGATTTACCCAATGCAATACATAATTTGATCTCCTGACTGCCGCTTCCGTGAGCACTGATTGTGGATCTAAGCACAACAAAATCCTTGAGAGCTTCAACCTTTTCTCCGGTTAGCCATGATGTTATAGCTGTTGGTCCAGTTGTGACAATTTTGGTCATCTTTACATTGAGTTGCAATCCATACTGAAGGCTGCAATCCCTGAGCTTCATCAGCAAGTGCTTCAGTCCTCCTCACTTTCAGCAAGCAAGGTTATCATTTGTATACTGAAGGTTGTTAATAAGCCTTCTTCCCAGCATGGTGCCACATTCTTCTTTACAAAATCCAACTTCTCAGATTTTTTTGCTCTAATTCTTTGCTCAGCATACAGATTGAATAAGTATGGTGATAGGATTTAGCTCGAGGAGGATACTACATTCTTCCTGGTTTTAAACCATGCAGTATCCCCTTGTTCAGTTCTCACAAGCACCTCTTGATGCATGTATTAGTTCCACATGAACACAATGAAGTGGTGGAATTACCATTCTTCTCAAGGCTATCCACAGTTTGTTGGGATCCACTTTGCACAGTCAGTAAAACACAAGTAAACATCTTTCCAGTATTCTCTGCTTTCAGCCAAAATACACATAACATCGACAGTCATATCCACTCTTGTTCCATCTTCTCTTCTGAATGTAGCCTGAACCTCCGCCAGCTCCTTGTTAATGTACTGGTACAACTTGCTGTTGGATGATCTTCAGCAAACGTTTACTTGCATGTGATATTAATGATAATGTTCTATAATTTGAGCATTCTGTTGGGTCACCTTTGGCCAAGTAGTGGTCTTCTAAATTTTCTGGTGTAGAAGAGTTAGTGCGTCCAGAGCTTCATCAGCTTGTGGAAACATTTCAATTGATATTCTTCCCATTCCAGGAGCATTTTTTTGGCTAATGCTTCTGCTGCAACGTAAACTTCCTCCTTCAGTACCCCTGGCCCTTTGTTCATTTGCTTTCTCTAGAAATGGTGGAAGTCTGCTAGTTCCTTTTGGTACCATGACTATGCACTCTTTTTACCTTCTTTTGATGCTTCCTGTATCATTCAATATTTTGCTCATAGTCTTTTAATATTGCAACTCAAGGCGTGAATGTTTTTCTTGAGTTCTTTCAGTTTCAGATGTGCTGAGCAGTGCCCTTTCTGTTTTTCTAACTCTAGGTCTTTTCACATTTCATTGTAATAGGATTTTGCTGGCAAGGTTATGAAACTCTCTCACACTGCCATTGAGTCAGTTTTGACCATTAGCAACTCTATAGGACAGAGAAGAACTGTCCCTGTGGGTTTCCAAGACTGTAACGCTTTAAGGGAGTAGAAAGTCTCATCTTTCTCCCATGTGTCAGCTTGCGGTTTCAAACTGCTAACCTTAAAGTTAGCAGCCCAATGCATAAGCCATTCCACCACGAGGGCTCCCAGGGTTAGGAAAGATTTTTTTTCTTTAGAAATTTTATATTGTCCAACTTCCCTTCAAAAAAAACAGTTAACATTTAACAATGCTTACTATATGCAAGATACAATGCTAAGTGCTTTATATGCATTACATTATTAATTTTTATCCCTTTGAAATGAATAGTTATCTCTATTTTACCCAAGAGGGAATGAAGCCTTGGATGGCAGACGTTAAAACTATTCACATCGACACTGTAATGTTACTTGTCTTGGGCTGGTGGCAGAAGCGGCGGTGAGAGCACCAGCAGTTGGGCACAAGCAGCAGCAGCAGCAGCATGGTGCCTGCAGTCTTTCCAGTCTTCCTCACAGCTTAAACACTGTTGTCTTTCAAGCCCAGTTTCACTGAAAAATGACCATAAGGAGGCAGCCAAAATGATTGTGTTAAGTCTCGAGGCTTGAATACAGGCCGTATCAAACGTGGGAGCGCTGACAAGGGAAGTTTATAGAGTACTTCTGCTGCATCCTGAAGGACAAGGCGGCCTTCAGAAAAGGCACTTATGAAGTGGTTTCAATCCTGATCTGATTTCAGGTGGGATTTCCAGCTTTAGTGCTCATGCCTCAGGGAGAGCTCTGAGAAGCCAGTTTTGCCTCTCTTCCCGAACAGTGTGACATGAACATGTGCCTGGAACTGATGGAATCATTTTCTCCCCAAAGGGAAGCTGGTACTGAGGAAGGCAGAACAGAGAGATGGGCACTACAAGTGAGCTGCTGAATGTAATCACTCCTAAAATCCATCCTGTCCCCTGACCAGCCAACAGACCCTTAGACTGTGAAAACCAATTTGAAATGGGTTTCTGTTACTTAGGACATAAAGACTAACAATTTAAAGCATTCTGCTAAAAAAAAAAAAACAACTCAAAATATATATGCAGTTAACACTTTCAATAGCTAAAAAGAAAAGTTAATGAAGAAAATCTATATTAGATTTATTTAGATTCATTCAGAATTAACGTTATTTTTAATTACCTTTTCGGTGTTCTTGTATTTTTCCCATCCTTTCAGCATTTTTAGCCACTTAGTAGTTCTTTCAATTTCCAGGTGTTTTTGCTAAAATAAAATTGAAATTCATTGTTATGTTCCTTTAGGTTTATTTATTTATCAATTTCCTACTTGATACTAAACAAGGACCATCAATTAAGCACATACACTGCCCAAGAGTCAATTCAGACTCACAGTCATCTTTAGGACACAGTAGAACCGCCCCTGTGGGTTTCAAGGCTATAAATCTTATGGAAGCAGAAAGTCACATCTTTGTCCCAAGGAGTAGCTAGTGGGTGTGAACTGCTGACTTTGTGGAATAGCCCAACATATAACCCACTACACTATTCCAGAGCTCCAGGATTATTAAGACAGTGATATTATATTGGATGACAAGTACCCTATTCAATTTTTTAAGTTGGATAATATTGCAGTTCAGTAGCAATACCATAGTTAACGATGCATAGGAAATGCTGGATAAGTATAAAAAAACGGGAAAGGGATGCTTAGATTTTTCAACACTTTAAAACATTTTTACAGTCTAAAAATTTAAAGTGAAAGTAAATTCTAAAATATCTTAAAATTTCATTTATGAAACAAAAAGACTCTGTTTGGAATATCAAAACGCTTTCATTTTTCCCCCCTGAATTCTATCATATTGTTGTTTTCAGTGAGAACTTGAATTATTCAAAGCATAACTGAGTTTTTTTTCTTTATTTCTTCATTTACATACTTGATGCTTAATATGTAACAAGAACTCTGCTAAAGAAAAAAATAAGCAAAACCGAATATGCAATCGCTGCTGCCTCCAGAAGTTCAGTTTGCTAAGGACAACAGACATGGAAATACACTGTACTGTAGCTGATGCCATGACACAGACAGAAAGAATAAGGACCAGGTCCTGATGGGGAGAAGAGTGAAACTCCCCCAGGGATGTCAGCAAGAATGAAGCCTAAACAAAGAATTGAAATATTATCAGGATTTTTTCAAGCACAATGGGAAATAAAGATTTTATTTTTATTAATAAATCATTTTATTGTGGGCTCTTACAGCTCTTGAACAATCCATACATCAATTGTATCAAACATGTTTGTACATATGTTGCCATCATCATTTTCCAAACATTTTCTTTCTGCTTGAGCTCTTGGTATCAGCTCTTCTTTCCCTCCCTCCCTGAGAAAAAAGATTTTTTACAAGTAATTTATATATCTATTTCTATGAGAAAATTCAGTAGTTCCAAAGTACTTAAAAAGAAAAAAAAAGAGGAAGCAAAAGGAGATGAGACTTATGAAGTCTTGCATGTGACCCTAAAATTGGGATTTAATGCAAGCCTCCCCTATTAATCATTGAGAGTGGTATAGAAAATGCTTCTTCTTCATGAGGTTCCAAGAGGAAGGATATTTTTCCCTAAGCACTCAGGCCTGCTGTCCGATCCTGTACACAGTGCTAAGGTACCTTCCTTCACTGCTAAGTTTAGAAAACACACAAGGCATGTTCAGCTCCCTCGTTCTTTCAGTTGGAAGCCCAGCCACCCTCAGAGAGCACATTTGTACTCTGTTCTTCTAGTCAAACAAACCAGCAACAACACCCTCTTCAGCACAGAAGTCTGTGGCGACGTCTAGCCCTGACAAGGGAAGAAGTCTATGTACTGTTTGGGACTTTGTTAGCAAGAAGTTCGTTGCATTTTGTTTTGAACCTTCATTCTCCCACAGCCAATCTCAACTCCATGAAGGCCCAGGATGTTTGCTAGATCCCACTGCATAGAACAAGCCCTGGCACAGAGTAGGCACCTAATTAATGATTTCATTTTCATGAAAATAAAACACAATATAATCCTTTCATGTGAATAAGCTGAGATTCTATGGGTTTATTTACTCTCCTTGATACCCAAATTTCCTTTTCTGGAGCCTTTACAAAAATGATAAATAGAACAAACCGCAATGGAAATGTAAGATTAATTGGAAAGATAATGCTTCTACGGATATATTTTATGCTCAAAAAATAAGTTAAGGTGAAGACTGCTGCTGGCAACCAGATGCCTGGACAGAACTGCTGTGACCCACAGGGTTTCCAGGAGAGCACCAGGCCTTTCCTTCCTCGACCTTAGTCCGGAAGCGCTACTGACATCTGCTCAGCAGCACACGAGCCTCCCCTGAACGGGGAATGGTGGCTTCACTCAGCTTTCCTGCATGGTAGGGAAAATTCCACCCTCAAAGCACCACAAGCCCCAAGAGGTAAAGGTAGAAGAAAAATCATAGAATAAATGAGGGAAATGTTTATTAACATAGCTTAATGGTGCCATATATACAAATTTATGGATTTAAATAAATTATCTTTTCATAACTTTAAAAGCTCATAAAAACTCCTTATCTATCACAAAATTGCCAGGTGGCCAGTAATAAATATTTACACATGATGACAGTTTCAGTATAAAGGACTACCAACCAGAATGATTTTAGTATTAATGAGGGAAAGTATCAAAATAAAACACCAATAAGTAGTAGAGAATCCATACTTCTACTCTCTGCATCTTAAAGAAGTGGATAGAGACCTTAGAAAATGATCTTCCATTAACAAAGCTATCAGAGGTATGCAGACTACTTAAAGAGGGCACTGTGTACAATTTCCTTCTCTCACGCCATCCTCAAACAGGATTATACCTACCCAATTCTGGTCGGAGAGCATATGGAGATGACACCAGATGGCTCCTTCAAAGAGGGCTGACAAATTCATGGGCCAAGTTTCACATGTATTAACTCACTAATCCACACTAAAAATCTATGAGGTGGGTATACCCATCCCCATTTTGTATACGAGGGCTCAAAGGAGTTAAGTAACTTGTCCAAATTTATATAAGGAGCCCTGGTAGCACAGTGGGTTACACATTGGGCTGCTAACCATCAGGTCAGCAGTTCAAAACCACTAGCTGATCTGCGGAAGAAAGATTTACTACTTCCGTAGAGAGTTACAGTCCTGGAAACCTACCTGTCCTATGAGTCCAAATTGATTTGACAGCAGTAAGTGTAGATTAAAATTTTTTTTTAAATCAAACCAACCCCAGAGCTATCAAGTGGATTCAATTTAATAGCAACCCTCGAGTTTTCGAGGTTATCAATCGTTAAGGAGCAGATAGCCTCATCTTTCTCCCATACAGTGGCCGCATCCTTCTGCAGAGTGGTGAGAGGTTTGAACTGGCAACTGCGTGGTTAGCAGCACAAGGCTTACCCAACAGAGAGATTTACACCTAGTTCAAATCCACCAACCCTCCTCAGGAGAAAGATGCAGCTTTTTACTCCTGTACATAGTTACAGACTCGGAAACCCAGAGGGGCAGTGCTACCCTGTCCTCCATGGTCACTACGAGTCAGAATTGATGAGCCTGAGTCCCGGTCTGTCTCTTAGTCAACACTGTAGTGTCAAACAGGCAGTATATGCTGACAGATGGTGTATGCCCGTATCATTATCCTTAGGTTTAAAAGATGCATAAAATCCAAAAAAACCTCCCAAATTTAAAAAGTTTCTCATCAGTACAACTATTTTCATTATTATTTCTAGGCATATTCTTAAACTTTGAAAATTACATCTTAACTCTTGATGGGTTCATAATAAAAAAATGATCGCTTGTGAGTAAAAGATACTCTTGTTATAATTCTCATTTTTCAAAACACTGAACATATTCTTCATGATACTATTAGTGATAAAATGTTACAGATGGTTCCAGAAATATGTTTAATTTTAAAACTCAGTGGGGCACTGAAATCTAATTAATGTTTCTGCTAAATGTGACTTTAGAGAAGGTCAAGCTGTGAAAAATTAAGATTGATCTAAATTGCCATTTGGTTTTCTTGTTCTTCTGCACTTCCCCCTCGCTTCTTCAAAGTCTAAGCCCTGTCTCTGCCAAAAGAAAACACCAAATAATTCAAGCTAACCCAAGAGAATCATAAACCACACTCTGCAAGGAACAACCCTGCTGAGATCGAGCAGGTCTTTTGCTATCCTTCATATTTATTACTAGGAATTATCACGAATCACTTTCGAAAGTCGTGATTCTCTTTGTTAAAAAGGCACTTTGGGAGCCATGTCTCTCATACACAGGCATGCCTCGGAGACGTGGGAGTTTCTGTTCCAGACCATCCCAGGGAAAAGCCTATCTCACGAAAGCCAGTGACACGCATGTTTGGTTTTCAGCGCATGTAAGATTTATGTCTACGCAATATTGTAGTCTATGCGCGTGCAACAGCATGATGAAAAGTTTGAAATATAGAGACACAGAGCGAGTGTATGTTGTTGGGAAAACGGCAACCAGAGAGACCTGGTTGATGCCAGGTTGCCACCAACCTTCAATCTGTAAAAAACGCAGTAACTGCAAAATGCAGTAAAGCAAAGCAGGCCTGTACACATATACGGATTATTATTTTTATATACGGATTATTTTAAAGGCTACACATTCTTACCCTGCAGGGACAAACCACATACCCACACTTGCACAATTTTAGAACCATTAAGTAGGTTTTCCTTTCCTCTACAGTAGAAGCACGAAAAATGATAAACCATGGAAAAATCCCCCAAGTTGTAAGTTTAAAAATTATTTATCAGTAGTTCAACATGAAGTTTAAATTTAACTCTATATTGCTGTCAGTTTAACTAGATCTGGCTTGAATGCAGGTGAAAGTCTCTTTTCCTCCCTCATAAATCAACAATTCATCAATAAAATAAATATTACCACAATACATGGAACAGCTGGCTGTCTCAGCAATTATTTTTCAGATACAGCTAAAAACATATCTGACAGTTATGAACTTAAGTGCTCTAAAAACACAGGGTAAAGAATGTCATTTTGCCATGGATTCAGTAACACTAAGGCAAAGTTTGACTGTAATAGCATTTACAATCTCCAACTAAAAGTTCGACACTTGAACACATTCAGAAAGCGTTCCTCAAGCATATTACCTGCATGTTCCCTACCATGCACTTAAAACATCAGTACACACTGAGTCAATCAAACTAAAACTTTAAAGTTGTTTGGGACGTCCTTTGATCTTAATTCCCACACCCAAAATATACTTCCTG